ATTCATTCCACACTGTGTCGCTCAAAACATTTCTCTCGTTGTTTGTGAATTATACTGCCATAACAGGCAATTTGTCAGCCAAGCTATAATGTCAAACAATAGAATGATGTTAATCTCCTGTTATAAATATTTTTACATTGGCCTTGGAACAAGCACTTGGCCATGCTGCTGAAAATGTGCTACTGTGAGTTGAGAGTAATCCGGCAATAAATAACTGGGTCTGCATCACTAAATATTTGAACACTCCTTTCTCCTTGTCTTGTTTCATGCCAGGTAGCTGCTAGATATTTGAGAGTTTCCCCCTAAGAAGAAGAGTTGAGAATAAACCCACACCCAGACTAAATACAAAGTATTAAGTGACCGTTTGCTAAACCTGGCAGAACAATGAACGGTGGTGCATGTAGCTCTAGTAAGAGTGATACTTGTTGCTTAAGTTTGTTTCTGTTTTTTTTTTGGGGGGGGGGGGGGGTTGTACCTGTTACAAAACTAAAAACAACAATGTGTGTATATCCACTTTCACAAAAGTTGGCTTGACTTGTTATTAGATAATTGCACTTTTTGTGGGGCTACAAGAAATGTTAGAACAATACCTGTACAGGATTGGATAATTGCAGTCTTTGGGAGCCAGAATGCTAGTATATTAGTATCATGTACCTTTTTTATTCACAGACATCACAGTGTGGCTATAAGGTCATAGCTGATGGACTGGTAGTCTAGCATACTAATATTACTTAAATTAGTGTTTCTCAATGGGTCACTGGAAGCAATATTTTGGAAAGGGGGGGGCAATGAGCTGCTCTTGGGAGGTGTTTGTTTTAATACAGGTTTACACCAAATATTCACAACAATATAACTTTAAACTACAACTAAACCTGTTACTTTCTCTAAGGAATACCCATGATTATCCACCACAGTACCCATCTTGTATCGCAGTGGTTACCCATTTACAAGAGGGATATTCCGCTGTCAGACTTGGCATCCAGCGGCTAATGCCACCCCAGCAAATGCTGTGAGAGTAATCAAGGGGACCCACTTCGCGGCATGAGTCGCAGAGAGTTTGTGACCGTAGTAACGTAGCTGGGAGTATTTTGCAATATAAAAATCTAAAAACTAAAGCGCAACCTTGCTGTGTGGATCTGTGGTGAGATTTCTGCTTGACAAGTGTATTCAGATTTCAGATTCGGTTTCTTTTTGCACCTCCTTGTCTCATCCAGTTCTGTGTCTGTCAGATGGTCTAAAGGTGAGACAACCGTTTCAGTAGAGCAATAATGCAGGCTAATGGACAGCAGAGAAGGCTACAGGCAGGTAGTAAAACTATTATGAACTCATTAAATTATGACAATGGTCTCGTAATATTATGAATTTTTCTAAACATGTCAGAATACAGATGTGGACTGGATTTTGAATGTGCAGAAAGTTTTGAACATGAGCAGAAAACCTGCTGAAACACAGGAGCTATTCAAGTCCAGGAGTTTATAACTGAATTAAAATTAATTTATCATTGAGGTGAAAAGGTTAACAGTTATTTCCCCAAACAAAGACATAAGAGGAGTGTAACTAAATCATGTGTTGACTCAGCATGGATTTAATTAAATGAGAAAGTTGATCTACAGAAGAAAACACATTTAAAAGCAATACAGAATGCCTGAGAGCCTTACTACATTGTATTCTGTTAGTTTTTTTATTTTGAATTGTAATGAAATGTTCTGGGGGGGGGGGGGGGGCACACATAGATGTTCCATCCAGTGTTGACACTAAACCAATGCTTCCGCTAATACTGTTACCTACACTGCTCAAAAAAACAACACAATGTAACTCCAAGTCAATCACACTCCTGTGAAATCAAACTGTCCACTTAGGAAGCAACACCGATTGACAATCAATTTCACATGCTGTTGTGCAAATGGAATAGACAACGGGTGGAAATTATAGGCAATTAGCAAGACACCCCCAATAAAGGAGTGGTTCTGCGGGTGGTGACCACAGACCACTTCTTCAGCTCATCCAGGATGGCACATCAATGTGAGCTGTGGCAAGAAGGTTTGCTGTGTCTGTCAGCGTAGTGTCCAGAGCATGGAAGCGCTACCAGGAGACAGGCCAGTACATCAGGAGACATGGAGGAGGCCATAGGAGGACAACAACCCAGCAGCAGGACCGCTACCTCTGCCTTTGTGCAAGGAGGAGCAGGAGGAGCACTGCCAGAGCCCTGCAAAATGACCTCCAGCAGGCCACAAATGTGCATGTGTCTGCTCAAACGGTCAGAAACCGACTCCATGAGGGTGGTATGAGGGCCCGACATCCAGCCCAACACTGTGCAGGACATTTGGCATTTGCGCCACTGGCACCCTGTGCTCTTCACAGATGAAAGCAGGTTCACACTGAGCACATGTGACAGACGTTCTGCTGCCTGCAACATCCTCCAGCATGACCGGTTTGGCGGTGGGTCAGTAATGGTGTGGGGTGGCGTTTCTTTGGGGGGCCGCACAGCCCTCCATGTGCTCGCCAGAGGTAGCCTGACTGCCATTAGGTACCGAGATGAGATCCTCAGACCCCTTGTGAGACCATATGCTGGTGCGGTTGGCCCTGGGTTCCTCCTAATGCAAGACAATGCTAGACCTCATGTGGCTGGAGTGTGTCAGCAGTTCCTGCAAGAGGAAGGCATTGATGCTATGGACTGGCCTGCCCGTTCCCCAGACCTGAATCCAATTGAGCACATCTGGGACATCATGTCTCGCTCCATCCACCAACGCCATGTCGCACCACAGACTGTCCAGGAGTTGGCGGATGCTTTAGTCCAGGTCTGGGAGGAGATCCCTCAGGAGACCATTTGCCACCTCATCAGGAGCATGCCCAGGCGTTGTAGGGAGGTCATAGAGGCACGTGGAGGCCACACACACTACTGAGCCTCATTTTGACTTGTTTTAAGGACATTACATCAAAGTTGGATCGGCCTGTAGTGTGGTTTTCCACTTTGATTTTGAGTGTGACTCCAAATCCAGACCTCCATGGGTTGATAAATTTGATTTCCATTGATAATTTGTGTGATTTTGTTGTCAGCACATTCAACTATGTAAAGAAAGGAGTATTTAATGAGATTATTTCATTCATTCAGATCTAGTATGTTATTTTAGTGTTCCCTTTATTTTGAGCAGTGTAATTTAAGTTGAATGAAAGGGCGGTAAGGGACCTGGATAATGGATAGGGGGGTACGAAATGTACGAAAAGATTGATGCCGGAAAAGGGGCAAAAATTTGAACCAGGGCTGTACCCTTTCAAACTGAAGACAAAAGCCAGAAGTCAGTGAGTGTTGGTGGGGGGTTTTGTCCAGTAAAAGGGCTATGGGTTAGAGTACACTACAGAAACACAAACCAAACTTGCATCAGATAGAGATAACTCATCAGATTTTCCCCATCATCAAATCCATTTCTCTTGTAAAAGTAAAGCATACTGTTTAAAAGTACAATAAAGTGTCTCCTATCCAAGTGCAATTTTCTATACTAACTTTTCTGTAGGGCTAACTGCCCTGCAATACACAATCAACATCTGAGGATGGGGACTTGTAGTTTTAGCCAGTTCTCTTTTAAAAAAGTCAACTGAAAACATCAAAGTCAGGTGGAGATGGAGTTTTCAAGCCAAAAGAGTACTTTAGCATTATGTCTGCTAGAAATTAGAAGGATGTTTTTACTTACTTCTGTGTTAAATCAAAGATTTGTTACTAAGAATTTTATGTAGTAAATATGCCACTGTTACCATTGTGTTGGCGTATACTATATATTGTGCTAGAATGGAAAGCAAGAGTAAGTGGGCCAGGCTTAGCTAACAATCAATTGTTGTTCAATATATGTTTTTAATGAAATTCAAGTTCAATAATATTAGTGGCTGCAGGCTAAACCCCTCCAGTCAGTTTTTTTAAGACTGAAAAAATTAATAGCTTTGACTTTGACAGTTTGGCGTCTGCACTGGGAGCTGGGGATGTGGGGTAGCGTGCACAAACCAAGCAGCCAACTTTTAAAAAGGGAACAACAGGGAGAGACAGGGAGACATGGCAGTCATACATTCTCTTTTCATCTCCTTGTTTTCTCCACATTCCTCCATCTGCCTTCACATACACGCTCAGATTAGAAAGCAGTGAAATTTGCTGGACATAACAGGTGCAAGTGCTTTTTATTTGTTTGTATCTTTAACCTTCTTTCTTTCGTCTGTTTTCAGACCCAGCTGTTCTAGTATTCTGTGCTGAGTTTTTTCAAATCTCCATCTTGTCAAGATTCAAACAGCATCTGCTGAAAACACAGGTGTCTTTGCTGCAGAGTGAGTCAAAGCTCCCCTGGAAGCCTTGTCAAAATACAAGCTTTTTAATGGGTCTCGTCATAGTAATTTCCTTTGTTCCAATTGCCTCTGATTTCTTCGTCACCAGATGAGCAGCTGGCTCCAGGTGTGAACAACTTGCACAACGGTGTTGTAAGAAATCAACTACATTCACTCCAAAGACCGTAGAAAAGAGAACATCAGAATAGACACCATATCTACCTACCATTTCAAATTTTATATTTTCAAATTCCAAGACAAAGTATAGGCTCATACACATACACAAAATAAGAATATTGAAAGTTGTAGTGAAAACATACAGTACTGACAAATAGCCCAATTAGATCTATGTAATTCTTTCCAAATGAATGCAGTGTTTAATTTATGTATCAGTTACACTACATTGATTATTCATGTACATAGTTCTGGCACACAAGAGCACTGTAGGCTTTTATTTTTTAATGACTACAAAAGAACCTCCCTGTAGTTTATATTCCTCTATGGACGGCCATTCAGCCCAACACTTTCCATATCAAACATAGATACTGTAAATTAAAAATAAAACAATTTGTAAAGGGGGTGATCATTATTTTCCTTCACATTTGATTACAAAATTCAACGTAGACTTCTATTCCAGGGACATTAAGACCCTGTTAAAACCCAACATACCTTGTGTCGCCTTTGTTCTACCATACAGGTGTTTTCACTTATTTTCCTGATTTGACATCTCTTCCAGACTGTGTGGGTGTGTACAGACTATGCTTGATTGACATCTCCTTCACTCTCCTCTCTGTTATGGTGAGACAAATGACACCTTTATCATTCTTATTGGGGCAAGTACCCTGTAGAGGTTTATTGTGAACAAACAAAAGTTACATTTTAAATTTAGTGTCACTCACCAAAACAAACTGTCACCCTGAGCTGTAAGAATGCATTTCCTTCCTCTTAAGTATTTAAATCCAGCATTGTTTACATCCATGTTTACTTGCTGGCAGGTTCCTCCTTCTTGCCTTTGTTGGAACATTGCAGCATGTCTTGGCATGTTACAGCCACCTGTTGATTAGTGGAATAGTGCGAAACCATTGGCAGGTGTGTATCTGCATCCTTTGTGTGCATGCACAATATAAACAAAACTGCCTTTAAGTTTTGTGTGTGACATTACATCCTTTTCCGGGACTGAGCGTGGGCCAGCTTCTTTCAAGAGCCAACCATATTAACAGGTGCAAGCACAGATTGTATATGCCCATTGTCCACATAGTCCTTAGAAGAGAAGTTATTAAACACCTGTGGTAGCGGAATTGAAAAGGGGTCACGGATTTTTATTTAGAGAAAATTGTGTGTTGCCACGTTTTTTATTGCTTTTAATTCATCAAGTGTCAGTAAGTCTGCCAAATGAGTACATGTAAGTGGTTTTCTGCATTTTTCCGGATTCAGCATGTATTCTGCCACAGTGTCTTTTTTTTGTTACTTCTACTGGGAGGTGTCAAACTCCCAATTCAACAGATTGTAGCTTTAACTGTTGATTATCAGACAAAGATTGATTAGTCTCCATGTTGCTTCTTGTCGTCTTCAGTCTACCTAAAATCACTGCAAAATTCAGTCCAAATAAGACATGAAATGTGTTACTCATGACAATCATATTCATAATGATATTTCCACAAAATGTCGTGTGTGTGTGTGTGTGTGTGTGTGTGGTAACAATTTACTAGTCAAAGGGAGTTTTTCGAGGGATTTAACAGTCTGCTGAGGCGGGGAGTGATCCAGGTCCAGAATGGGAAATCCAAGCAAGATGGTTGAGCTGAAGCGGTGAAGGCAAAGCAGGTGGGCAAGCAAGTGACTGGCAGGCAGGTTTGAGTGGTTCACAGAAGATACTGGCGTGCTGGACCAGGGTAGATAATAGGCGGTTGATTGGAAACAAGTTGCAGGTGTGTGGAGGAGCCAGAAAAAACCACGCCCAACTCACAGGAAAACAGACAGACAGGCACAACAGGATGGGGAAACAGAGAACAAAAGGTAAATAGAGGAGAGGGACCACTGGAGACAACATGAGGTTGAAGTCGATTGCATTGTGAAATTAATTTATTCAAGAGCTGTCTAAAATCAAGATGAATGATCTTGTTGCTAATGGAGTGATCTTCTGGATGATTCTTCTCCTTGCATTGCAGAAATAAAGACATCCATCTTATGATGTAATTTTGTCTCTTTATTAAGGAGCTTTCCCCAGCGACTGACCTTTTTAATCAAACACAGAATCACTGTTTTAGTAGACGAGCAACAGACATGTAACATTCAGTGTTATGATTTGTGTTAATTTATGGATTCAACCAGCCCTTCTCCTGCTAGCAGCCAACCCTCTTTGTGTATTGAAAATGAGAATGTGCTCTTCAACCTGCCAAATCAAATAAGAGTTAATGATTTCAGAGTCATTGAAATGCCTTTTGTGTGTTTGCCTATTATTACCATTTTATCAGCCACGCATCAAGTGCCGATTTGCTTCAGCACACACATATCGTCTAATCAGAAAATGACTTTGGGGTTTTGTGCCTTGTGTAAGCTGAGCAAGGCCTAACCCCGAGAAGCAGACCCTGAAATACATTGAGGTGGATTAAATGAAAGGACTAGGATTAATTAAATGGATTTGGAATCAAAGAAAATGAGAAATGATTTCCTGATTGTCAATGTTCATTTTGCACAAATGAGATATAAACAAAGATAATAAACCTTGCATTTATTGATCACTTGACAAAACAGCAGACAGCTGTGGTGTAAATCAGTGAGCGGTAAATGGGCTGCTTCATGTCTCCTCCACACCGTGTCTTCTCAGCCAGGAAATCTATTCAAATGAGTCAGCGAAGGCAATTAATAGTATTTCAGTAGGTGTTCAGAAGCCATTTATTCGAGAGGTTTTTATGCAGATATTGAGTAGCCAGTAGAGTGTGGGCATCTCTCCACCCCAAGAATTATTTCACCATTTCAAAACAATGCAATTAAATTTTAGATAAAATCTATTCATCAGTCGTAAACATAGCCATTAAGCTAACTGAGAAGAAAAGTAGAGCGACAAAGGCATCTACACAGAGTGAACACAGTACCTTCTGCAAATGTGTCTGTATACATCATTGCATCAATGTGCGTGGGTCTGTGTGTGTATACATTTCATTTGCAGCTGATATTCTCTTTCTGACTCGCTTGTTCATGTGTGTATACTCATACAACATGCAAGCTGCAAACAAAACCAAAAAAGGTTGCTTTGTTAATCCGAATGGTTTGTACATTGAATATTCTGTTTTAAAACCAAATCAGAAAAACAAGTAATTTTGGAAAAATGGAAAACACAAAACACATGTTTTGTTTTTCTGTTTTAACCCCAAAACGGAAAAACAAAGGAGCTGTTTTGTTCTATCTATGACCAGTGTTATATCCTTACAACCCGTTCTTACTCCCCGACTCGTCACATATGGACACATGGTCAAGAGTCAAGACCCAACAGCTTCTGTTTGTAGGCTAACTGACTGGGGATCCCTATAGACCCCTATATATCCCTATAGGTCAAAGCAGTGGGGGAAGCCCTGTAGAATCAGTTTTTGACAGTAAAGGTAGGTATATGATATTTAACAGAAAAGACGTGAAAGGAGGGCCAAAACCCTGACTTTGAACCAGGAGACCCGTGTTCGTGCTGTGTGAAACAAAAAGTCAGTATTACACATTTTTATATTTAATTTAATAAGTTGCATTGCATCTCGTCAACTTTTTGTTTTGTTTTGCAGGATCGTGTCAAGTTGGATTCAAACTCAGAGCTAGAACTAGAGCAAAATCAATTCCTTGTTTTGTCTTGTTGCTTTGCCTAGGAGCCACTTAAACACATAATTCTCTAATTTCTAGATTAAGTAGGTCAAGGAAGCATTTTGTTTTGGGCTGATCTGAAGTAGGTGGTTACCTGAGCGTTCAAAGAAAATGCCCAAATATGTTTATTGTAGTGGGAAAACGGTGTGGATTTGTGCATTTTATTAAATAAATCTGGAGATACTCCAAATTCCTCTTTTCCTCTCCCAAAGAGGAGCAGGGGGGCAACTTTCAACAGACTGCTGGAGAGACCCCAACGGAAGGGGGTGGGAAAGTTGCTTTCTTTAGCTGCTATGCCTGGGCAGTTGATCGTAAAACTGGCGCCTTTCTGATTCCGAAGCTGATAACGCAGTGACTGACAAAAAGGGACACGAACCAGCGATTAACATTTCCCTGAACAGCCTATCAAACTGCCCCCCACCCCCCCCCCCCCCCACACACACACACACACACACACACACACACACACACACGTAACCGTGGCAACTGACTGGGTCTGTGTTTCTTTACCCCATCAAAGGGATACTCCTTGTCTCACCCACTTGTGACATAACCCAGGAAGCCGAACTTTAAATACCAAAGACTGCAGTCTCCAAACACTCAAAGCATTTAATTAAGTTTAATTAAATCTTTAGTTACTTGATTACGTTTGCCTCTATTTGAGTAGTTATGTTAACATGTTGTTGCTATCTGTTGTTGATATTAGTGCTGAAAAGAATCTAAATAAGTTACTTTTGCAGTGTTTTTATTTTCAGCAAGACACTCCCTCATCTAATGTGTAATCAATGCTTGTTCACAATACTTTCCTACAAAATTTCTTTAGAAATGATAAAGAAATGTTTTACTATACTCTTAATCGGCAGCTTGAATTTAAGGATGAATAACTGAATTCCCCGGTTCCTAAGGAGAGATGGTCTTGGGTTAATCTAAGCTTTCCTCATGTAACCTGAGCTCCCCCAAGTGGACGAAATAAGTATTACATGCCATCGTTGGAAATGCCGTTAAATGTATAAATATCCTGACCAATAATGTGACAATTGTTTTCCTGTTACCAAATGCTTAACTTAGAACAGTACAACTGTTCGACCATTGAGGTTAGATTGTGGAAAATATTTGATTATAATACGCGCAATAGATTTCTTTTCTTTTAGACATTAAGTTTAGAAAGGCAGTCCCTCGGGAAACCTGAAACGCCCTCTGGGGAACCACGCCCCAGGCAACAAAAGAGCGAGAGTCTCTCTCTGCTCTCAGCTCTTCTCCTCCCCTCGTGCCCTGGCCTTCCGCTCTGCTCTCTGCACGCTTCACCACGCGTCCGGCGTGCCTCGCCAGGCAACACCTAAGAGTCAACCAGCGCAACAGGCCTTTGTTTGCTTGAAGCTACACACGTGAAGTGCCGCGACATCGATCTGCCTTCAGTTTGTTTTATTTTCTTTCTTTCTTTTGTTTTGTTAAAGTTATCAGTCTGTTAAGTTACACTGGATTAATTCAGGAACGACCAAGTTCCATTTTAAGCTTTTTCGTCGAGCCAACTTCACCGAGGTCAGACCAAGCCACGTGTCTCGCCAACCGAATTGCCAGACGGAGGACGGCGTTGTCTTCAGACACGGAGAACCCCGGAGAATCCCTAGCAAAAAGCCAGGATCAGGCAGCTAGCGTGGGACCCGTGCAGCAGGCCAAAGCAGGCCGTCGACAAACCGTAAGACCTAACAAACATTCTGTGGTCAGATGTCCAGTACGGTTAATATTTCCTTTTAACTCCTAAACTCATAGCTTCTTTCATTAGTTCTCCTATACCGTATGAGTCAAATGCTTCCCACAATCGAACCTCCATTTCTCATTGTTCAGCCATTGTTTATTTCCCCTTAATTTAACCACCCTTTTATATCGCATTAGTTAGAGAATAAATTCACTGTAATATAATCAAGAACTGTGTGTGTTGCCTATTTCTACGTCCCTGCCAAGAGAATTGACCCTTTAGATATGAGACTGACTGACTGATTTAAGATAATTGAGCGATTATTAACTAACTGATCACTAGTAATAATTGTATAATTATTAAAAGCTACCTAGAGGTCCGGAGACTCTAGGATTATAACAACTCCGGTGGTGCCCTGAAATGAGGAATAATTTTGATTTTATGAATATTAAAATTCATAATTGGTATTAATTCTCATAAATTTATTAAAATTCATAACTAATCTAGCCATGCTACATTATCAAGGGTTTTTTCTGGAGGCCAGGGTACAAACTAGCAGGAGAGCTTGGCTCCTCTTAATAAGACATAAGCTCCCCTGAAAATGATTTGTGATATTTTGGGGAGTCTCTAAAATTAACTATAGACCTATGCTATTTTTGCCATTTCTATTTTTCTGCATCATCATCACCGACCATCCGCATCGCTCAGGTCGCTCCCACAATCTCCTCTCCCTCGCCCTGTACACTCCAGCACTCCACTCCCTCTCCGGTAGACCTACTTTGGGTTGTATTGCCAGTGGATCCGACGCACTGGTTGTTCTCTTTGGCTGGATTAAGTCTGACGCTCTTGATTTTTACCCATAATCCATGTGTTACTGCAGCTGGATCGAGGCTCTCCGCAGCGCCGCACAGCTTTCTAAATTCTCACAAAGAAATTAAAGGTTGGGTCGAAACAGTGTAGAGAGGCTGAACGAAATTGCCATTAGCGTGTCCGCCATTACCAACGCTTGACAAAGAGGACTTTCCTCCAAGACGAACTGAGAATTAACCGACTTGGCAAATAGTAACAGCGAAGTGAGATGGACCTGGATATTCATCTAGACCAAGCTACAACCACACTTTGCCAGCTAAATTGGGACTGGGTTGTGGAGGTCTGTAAATAACTGAATTCACTGATGAAGACGATGAGACGGTCGCTAACAAACTAAAACTGACTATATATAGTTGGACTATATTGAGCAAAATGTAGAGGCAGACAAAGCTATGCAGATGATTCAGGAACTGTTATCATTCATGAGAGGACCACCACAAGGAAGCGCAGGAGTCTCGCCCACAACAAAGCTGGAGGAAAAATACCAGGAGCTTCAGCAGTCCCAGACGGCTTTAGAAGAAGAAATAAAAATTCTTG